AGGGGGGAGGGGGGCGCGGACGCCCATCCAGGATCCTGCCGGGATCGGCGCCTCCTCGCACGTAAACAAGCCCGGGACCGTCTTCCCCGGCCTGGTTGGGGCTCTGCTAGAGGGGGCTCTGCTCTACCTGGCCTCGTTGTGATGGAGCTCTGATCTACTGCCCTCGCTTGGCGATGTGATGGAGCTCTGATCTACTGCCCTCGCTTGGTGATGTGATGGAGCTCTGCTCTACTGCCCTCGCTTGGCGATGTGATGGAGCTCTGCTCTACTGCCCTCGCTTGGTAAAGTGATGGGGTTCTGATCTACTGCCCTCGCTTGGTGATGTGATGGAGCTCTGCTCTACTGCCCTCGCTTGGTGATGTGATGGAGCTCTGATCTACTGCCCTCGCTTGGTGATGTGATGGAGCTCTGATCTACTGCCCTCGCTTGGTAAAGTGATGGGGTTCTGATCTACTGCCCTCGCTTGGCGATGTGATGGGGCTCTGCCCTACTGCCCTCGCTTGGCGATGTGATGGAGCTCTGCCCTACTGCCCTCGCTTGGCGATGTGATGGAGCTCTGCCCTACTGCCCTCGCTTGGCGATGTGATGGAGCTCCGATCTACTGCCCTCGCTTGGCGATGTGATGGAGCTCTGATCTACTGCCCTCGCTTGGCGATGTGATGGGGCTCTATTGCCCTCGCTTGGTGATGTGATGGGGCTCTGATCTACTGCCCTCGCTTGGCGATGTGATGGAGCTCTGCTCTACTGCCCTCGCTTGGCGATGTGATGGGTGCTTGGCGATGTGATGGAGCTCTGATCTACTGCCCTCGCTTGGCGATGTGATGGGGCTCTGCCCTACTGCCCTCGCTTGGCGGAGGCCCCACCAGACCATGCTGAGCTCATCCAGCACGCTGATGCTGACAGGAAGAACTCCAATAGACAAACGGTGATCCCCCTTCATACAAGGGGACTTAGAAGCCAAGACTTAAAGTTATGTAAGATTATGTATTTACACGTATTATATGGTATGTATTTAAACACATAGCTATTAGAAAATAATCGTTAAGAAAATTGTAGAACAATTACCAAAAGTTAATATTTATATAATTAAGTGTATAATTATATGATGTATAGAAGTATATAGCAAGTGTAATATTTAAACAATTATATAACAACATACTTTTAAGGATAACTATATACTATGCTTATATAATATAAACATAAGCACAATATAACATTTTCTAGTATGAAGTAGATAATATATAATGTGTATAACTTTATATAAAATACTTATATAAATGATACCTAATTTCATTCACTTATAATTAAATAATACTGATATAGTGAATAGTATCATGGCTGTAGTATTTTTGTATGTATATATTGGTCCTGGGGCTTGAAATCAGGGCCTAGGTGCTATCCTTGAGCTTTTTTGCTTAAGCCTAGTTCTCTATCACTTGATCCACTGCTCCATTTCTGGGTTTTTGGTGGTTAATTGGAGATAAGAGTCTCATGGACTTTCCTGCCCTGGTTGGTTTCAAACTGAGATTCTCAGTTCTCAACCACTTGAGAAGCTAGGATTACAAATATGAGCTAGTGCCACTTGGCATAAAGTAGTATTTTTGATATGGAGCAAATAATTTTAAAAATAGACTGTGAAGACAAATACTTAATGAATGACACTATTGTGGAGAGAGGACTGGAAAGAAGAAAAAAGACATAAGGTCAGATCTTTCCATAATTTATTAAAGAAAAATCTTGATAACAGGACTGTTTCCTATGTTGTTTTCAGTATTTAAAATTTAAGAAGAAAGTCAAAATGGATTGACTCCCTCTCTTCTCTGAGAATTCCTTTGACTCTGACTAGTCTTTTATGACCTATGAGTAGAAAGAAGAGGTAAAACAGTAAGAGAAACAACTGCTTAACCACAGTAGGGTCTGTCATACAATGGTTTTGAAATGGCTTCCAAACATGGAATGTTAAATTCTGGTTTTCATTTTACTTTTAAATAAGAACTTGGAGCCAAACAGAGAAATGTGAATCGTGGCTTCTTCATATCTGAAAATCTCTGTAGTGTTTCTTTTCCCTGGCCAGCAACTGGAAACTGTTGGCATCATTTCTCATCCATCCTGTGTTGGTTTTTAACACCTCCCTAGTTCTCAGAGAAGAGAAGGAAGTCGTTTTATAACCACAACCACTTCAAAGAACACATAGTCTCTCTTCCAGAGACTTGTGACATCCCATCGATGAAGTGGGAACCCAAAATGTCAGTCACCTTTTACAAGTAGGAAGTGGGAAATCTGAATTGCTCTGATAAGAAGTAATTATTCTCATATGACTCTTTAGCCATGATAAAGATGAAAACCTCTAGCCTACCCACCCCAGCCTGTTGGAAACCATCAAAGCCAACGTGCCCTCATTATAACATGAGCCACTAGGTGTCACTCAAGATAAATCTTGCATGCGTTGCGCAGTATTTAT